CGTTTCGCGTGGTGACTGACTGTGCAGTTATTGAAATTGTTAGAATTCGATTGTGAATTTATGCACCGTGAAGGCTCCAGAATGGCCCATGTCGATGCTTTGGGCAGATCACCAGATTTACCTGCAGTAAAACCAGAGCCAGCCGGTTTTGTTATGAACGTGAATGTGGATAGTGAAGATTGGTTATACACTATGCAGTTAAAGGATGAAAAGCTAAATCATATAATAGGCGTTCTACGTGGCAATATAAAATCCGACCAACACAGACAAATAAAGACCGATTTTGTTTTACGGAATAATCGTCTTTATCGCAAAACAAATGACGGACTCCGGTTTGTTGTACCCAAGGCTGTTCGTTGGCGTATAGCCAAACATTCACATGATGACGTGGGACATTATGGTCTCGATAAAACCCTAGAGAGGGTTAGACAATTATTTTGGTTTTCCCGCATGGGAAAATACCTACGAGAGTATATATACGCATGCACCGAGTGTTGCTACAACAAAGTTAAAGGAGGTAAGCCCGAGGGGGATATGCATTAAGGTGTTTTGGATCCACTTCCGTTCCGCCAAATACATGTGGATCATTTGGGACCGTTTGTTAAGAGTAAGAAGGGTCACACGCACATTTTGGTAATCTCGGATGCGTTTACGAAGTTTGTAATCGTGAAGGCAGTAAGGAGTACTAAAATCGCCCCTGTCATATCTGTGTTGAATGAGCTCACCAGTTATTTTGGTTTACCGCGACGTATTATCTCTGACCGTGGTACCGCGTTCACAGCGAAGGCTTTTGAGGACGATTGCGAGAATAATAGCATACAGCACATCAAAACAGCTGTCCGCACTCCACGTGCCAACGGCCAGGTTGAGCGAGTCAACCAAACTGTTTTATCATTCTTACGTACCACTACGGAAGATCCGAAGTTATGGGATACATCGTTACACATACTGCAGTGGTCGATTAATTCGCAGAAGAATGCAACTTCTGGATTCAGCCCTAATGAACTAATCTTTGATTACAAGCCCATCGATTGAGTGCAGAATCGAATAATAGCTGCCGTACAGGACGATACAATTGATGAATCAACGTCTTCGACCCATGAGAAACGAACGATAGCTGTGGAGAATATCGAGCGTGAACGTGAAAAATGGAAAAAAAAGATTTGATAGTAAACACAGCCGACCTACTATTTATGATGAGGGTGATTTGATTCTAATACGACACGAGCCTCAAGCAACGGGTGAGTTGAGAAAACTTGAACCTAAATATAAAGGTCCGTACATGGTTTCACGAGTCCTTGGGAACGATCGCTACTTGATAGAGGATGTCCCTGGTTTACAAATAAGCTCTCGTAGGTTTTGTTCCGTGTTTAGCTCAGACAAGATGAGAAAATGGTGCGATGGTTCTCCTGAGCTTGACGATGTGGATGAAGAGGAAGTCGAGGACGACTTAGAATCAGGATTGGCCGAGCTGTCAACCCAGAAACCACTACGCTAATAGACAACTCTGACAAAATCGATATGTACAACCCTGTTCATTTTGCGTCTCTGAATTTTTGAATATATCCGCTAGAGTGTTAGGCGAGGCACGCAACATCTTGTCGTCGACGCATGAACAACACGAGTTGAACTAAGAGTATTTTTAATGTATTAGAGAATTATTTTAAGTTTTGGAAAATAAAGAAAGTTTTGTTTTAATTGAATAAACGTGCATCGGAAAATTATTTTAAATCAGTCAATCAATCAGTTGACACTTGTCTACTCAAAATCAAAAAATATTCAAGATAAATATGTATCTGCATATAAAGATTAATGTATAAATTAATTAAAACAATAATTCTGCTCCACAGTGCAGAATGCATTATGGACCAAGCAGTGGCAGAGATTAATTTGTCGAACGAAAAGTCGGGTTCAACCACCGCTCCTACCCTTTCCGACACATCAAGAGTCCACTCTGTCAAGAAGACTTTCTTTGATAGGAGTGCCACCTTTCGCGTTGACAATTGGCTTGGATCCCAGTCGATCGAAGCGCTTTAGAGTGACGAGAAGCCGTTCATAGATTGGGCTAAGGCAGGGGACTAAGCTATATCTGCAGATCGTAAACGGCAGCTTTCGGAGAAAGAAAAACTTCGAAAACAATAAAAGACTATATAGTTTAATATCATCTTTTTTAATAATTTAGTTCTTAGAATTTTATTATAATTATATCATTTTGGCTTGAAAGAATCATTGTTAAGACGAAATTTGTAACCGCTTATTGCCTATAGGTTACTATTAAATAAAATAAAACAAGTAAGAAATTATAGTCGGGCGAGGCCGACCTTATAATACCCTACACCTGTTACAAAAATAAAATGTGATTTAGTTTTCATAATAGAGCATTTAAGTTGAATTTCTCCTTGCCTTGAATCATACTTAAGCTATTTATTGCTGAATAAAATTGTGGACATTTAAGTCAAATTTTGAAGGGTGATTTGTATAGGAGCTATGGTCAAATGAGACCCTATAATTATAAAATTCACGAGAGTCATCAAGGCTAGTATAGAACTTGGTTTTGCAGCTTTTTGTCGAGATACGAGTATATTAAACATAATTATAAACATAAAATCCCTATTCATCGGATTCAGTTGTATGGGGGCTAGGTGAAATAATGGACCGATGTTAACCATTTTCAATAGGATTCGTCTCCGGTACCATAGAAGATCATCTGCCAAATTTCATTGAATTATATTCAAAATTGCGACCTGTAGTTTGATTACAAGGTTTACAAGCCCTATTCGGGGGTTCAGTTGTATGGGGACTAGGTGAAATAATGGACCGATGTTAACCATTTTCAATAGACTTCGTCCCTGGGACAATAGAAGATCTTGTGCCAAATTTCATTGAATTATCTTCAAAATTGCGACCTGTAGTTTGATTACAAGGTTTACAAGCCCTATTCGGGGGTTCAGTTGTATGGGGGCTAGGCGAAATAATGGACCGATATTAACCATTTTCAATAGGCTTCTTCAAAATTGCGACCTGTAGTTTGATTACAAGGTTTACATGGACGGACAGACGGACGGACATAGCTAAATCGACTCAGATTTAGGTGCGTATAGGACCAATATTATTGTGCGTTACAAACATCAGCACAAATCCAATATACCCTCCCCACTAAAGTGGTGTATGGTATAAATATGTAAATAAAACTACATGAAGTAGGTTATGTGAACATTGCTCAAGAATTTGTCTTTGTATTTTGTTTCATACATTTTTAAGTAATATATGTACGATTTTGATGCAAAATTTGACTTTGATGCAAAATTGCCTGGAATAACAATGATTAAGTAAATGTCGCTAATTTTTCTTGTATGGCTTTTACGTGAACGTACAAAACACAGACAGATCAACAAACGGACCAAGAATATACATACGTTATAGAGACTCAGGTAGACATTTACAAAAATAGTTTTGTTTATTTTTAGTTATATGAGTTTAGTTTTGCCTTATGAGAAAAAACAAAAGTTCCATTTTTTAAGTCTAGGAAAGAAATATTTTCGAAATAGTATATACAAAAAATGTTAAAACACAAAATATTTATTAGTATCGTTTGAGAGATCTGCTGGTTAGCAGTTATTACTTTAGAAAAACTTGGAAATGATTTTATTCGTTTAACAGAATTAAAAAGTAGTGGCATATGAATGACATCTCGTAATTAACATTTTGTTTCCGAGATAATGATGCCAAACAATTTCTCTATCATACTGATTATCTTATGTTGTGAAAAATTGTCAGTTATGAGATGTCAACATGTGGCTACCATCCAATATGTTAAAAATGATTGTACAGTATAAAATGAGTATGTGTTTTTGTAATTAAGAGAGAAAGACAAAGAAGAAATACATACAACAACACAAACATTCAATTGGCATAGTACATACCCACAGATACCAAATATTGATACGTTTTTGTAATAAAAAATCAATTCTGTTGCTCGAAAAATATTATTGTATACAGCATATATTTTGGTTTTTAATAACATGTGTTGTTAATATTGTTAAACTTATGTTATATACATTTTATTTTATTTTTTTGATTCAATGATCAATAATTGCATACTATAATTTATTGCTACGTATTTACCAGTGTGTATTAAAATTTCTCAGAATTTCGTATAACTGTTACTTTAATGTTAGTATTATTGAGGGATATTATCAAATTAATTAAATTAGTTAACAAAAATTATATATTTTAACATATTAAAAAAAAAAAATTTTTCAAAAAATAATTAAAGAAAAATAGCCAAATAGGCTTAATTGTTTAAACATATTAAAAGCTTAAAAATTATTAAAATACCTGCAAATATTATGATATCGCTAGTTAAAAATCAAAATTAATACAAGATGATTTTGATAAAGCCATTTTAAAATAATCAAGTTTGCTGTATTCGGTCAGTTTGAATAATCGTCTGTACACTTATATATATTTCTTTATTTTAAAAATAATCAAGTGTGCTGTATTTGGCCAGTTCGAATGATCGACTGTTCACTAATATATATTTCTTTATTAAAAGATGATTATGGACAAAAAAGTTTTGATGAAATTAATTTAAACAGACAGACGGGCTTATATAAAGCTGAAGGATATTTGTGTTTCGTGTTACAATTTTTTCAACGCTAATTAAATTATAATTTTCGCAAATTTGTTTATTTAGCTAGTTAGTGATTTACTCCTAATAAATTCAAAAATAAATATATATAAATAAATATTATTAATACTTTTATGTATGGCCAACAGACCAACTAATATATTCACAGTTTAACTGACTCAACTTGTCAATCGCATTTTATGTTAAAATATAGAAATGCAATTCTACGTATATATGTCTATAAATAAATTATATTTTAATACTATATATCTTAATACTGTGTTTTTTTATCATAGCACTTGGCATGGTTATATAAATATGTTATAAATAACATTTAAATAATTTCTATTGGTTTCAAATGATTACTCACGATAAAATTTTAGGCAATTTTCGTGTTGGTATGGAAGTGATTAATTGTCCCCAAACTAGTGTTCCAAGACCAAAGAAAATACACCATAGCCATTGGTCAAGTGTCAATGCTTTTGTTGAGAATGCCACATTTCCGTATTGAACAATAATAACCTATATAAAGAAATTTGAACCTAATTAATAATTCTATAAATTTAATTTCTATAAATATATTTGTTTGTTTTTAAAATATTTGTATAATCTAAAAGTGTTCTAAAAACTTAATTTTTAGTTTAGTTCTAATCAAAATTTAACTCGTTGCAATAGCTTATTTCATAATAATATGGGGGTTATAATATGGGGTTTAATATTATAACCCCGAAGATTGAATAATTTATACTCTACGTAAAAAATTATAAAAATTAATTACAGAATTATCATGTCTAAATTAATAAAGTTTAAAAGAGATAAATTTTCAAGTTATTAAAAATCATATATCATTTTGTCTATAAAATATTATCTTCCAAAAATTCGAATTTCAATAATTTAGCATTTTGTTAAACATAGATTGTAACAGCCGTATTTATTTTATAACTTAAAATTGATAAAAAATTCTAAGAAGTTTTACTAAAGTTATATTCTTAAATGTTTATTTTCTTATATCGTTATACATATATCTTTTATAAACCATTGCTAAATAACCGTATTTTATAACAATATTGCAATTTTATTCGAACGAATAAACTCAATTCTCACCAATATTGTATCAACATAAGAAGTTTTGGTAAAAATGCTTATTATAACCTTTAACCTAAAATTTTTTAACCAAATTTAGTTTACTTTAAGCATTTATTCATATTTTTATGAAATATATACAAATATTTTAATTAATAAGCAATACAACATACCTGAGAGATCATAGTAAATATCCAAATGGTATAAAAGATTGGATTTGTAAACAGTCCTTCTAAGACATTTCTCTGTCCGTGAATTTTACGGGCGTTGATTTCATTAAACAAAGTCATCATTACAAATGTATTAAAAATAATTGTGAAATGCTGAGTGGGTCCAGCGTTAAGTTCCTGTCCACGTCCAGATTCAATATCTAGTATAATATCGCCTAAGGTAATAAATAAACACATAACATATATAAGATTTAATACCATAGTTATCAAAAATAAGAAATTTACTGTTTAATACATACCGGCAAATAGAAGACCAAAAATGACTACTAATTGATACAAAGCTTGTCCCAAAATATTTTTCATCATTGTACGTGAAATCAAAGGTTTTGTGCGACCGTAAGGCTTACGCAGTAACAAATCAGGGGTTGGCAATTCAGTGGCCAATGCCAAAGATGCAAGTGTGTCCATAATTAAATTAACCCATAACATTTGCACAGCCTACAGTAAAAAGAAAACATGCTTTAAAATATGTCTTCCTATTTTGCCCTCCTTACCTTAAGTGGTGAATCTTGAACAGCACAAGCACCAATGAATGCAACAATCACAGCAACTACATTAACAGTAAGCTGGAATTGTAAAAATTTGGCAATGGAATCGTAGACGTTACGTCCCCACATAACAGCTTTAACGATACTACTAAAGTTATCATCAGTTAAAATAATATCGGAAGCTTCTTTAGCCACATCAGTACCAGCAATACCCATAGCAAAACCAACATCAGCTTTTTTCAAAGCGGGACCATCATTTGTACCATCACCGGTTACAGCAACAACTTCACGATTTTCACTAACAGAACTGTCAATGATACCTAAAATAGTAAATACAATTTTAAATTTTAGAACCTATGTAGCATAAATTTACAATATCTAATATGTATCAAATGTTCAGCATTGCAGCTTTATACAGAGTTTATAAGATTAAAATACTAGTATGAGTAGACACGAAAAATAGTATCGAGTTAATTTTTTGTGTTTATTACATTCAAAAATCCAAATCAATAAGAATAAAACTGCAAGTCGACAAGTAGTAGTAAAAAGTGCCCTTCGACACACTTTACGTACGACAACTCTAATGAAAAAGTAAAATGAAATTCCATCCGTATGAAAAAAAAAGAGAATAAAAGTCGTATGATTTACATATATTTTTTGTGTTTACACGATTGGTATAAAACAATAACAAAGTAAGATGGAAACAGCTGTTTCACTTTTTTTGTGTGCGTTTACATAAAAATACATCCCGTCGTATGATTTATATTTTTCGTGTTTACACGATTGTTATAAAACAATATAAAGTAAGATGGAACATCTGTTTCACTTTTTTTGTATGTGTTTACATAAAAAAAATTCATCCCTGATCTAATGCGACTTGCTTGTTTTTTTTAATCATTTCAAAAAATGAAGAGAGCCATACGACTGTCAAATTTTCCATCCGTGTTTTCTCTAAATGTGTGATGGTTTCATTACATATTGTGTTTAGACGATCCCATCCGTTCTCTTCTACACAAAATTTTGACAAATCATATTACTTGTGTGCTCGTGTGAAGGGGGCTTAACTGATTTCTATTTTTAAGGCACTACGCATTCTGTAGTTTCAATTTTTTATAATCAGTAGAGAACGCAATATTAAAAAAACTTTGTAGAAAATTTAGCCTTTTTAACCATTAACCGTTAATGTAAATTTTACCTACAACACGCATTTTTACACCCTTAACCTTCGTGAGAAGGGTATATATAAGTTTGTAATTCCGTTTGTAATTTCTATAATATAATTTTCCGACTCCATAAAGTATATATATAGGTAGCGGAGTTGATTAAGCTATGTCCGTCTGTCTGTCTGTCTGTCCGTCTGTGTGTTTGTTGAAATCAGTTTTTAGAGGACCCCAGATATCGGCGAGATCCGAATCTTCAATAATTCTGTTAGACATGCTTTCGAGAAGATCGCTATTTAAAATCAGCAAAATCGGTCCATAAATACCGGAGATATGAGCAAAAATCCGAGACAACCTCTAAAAATTTCATTAAAAAGACAATTTTTTTCATGCTTTGATATAAGCAACAACAACAACACTGCTTATTCATTGAGTATTTCGTTTCATATGATTGGATGGCTGTGTGTTTCATTGCCTTGTGTATATTGTTTTTGTTTCTTGGTGCATTCAGTTTCGTATGTTTGGATGTCTGTTGGTTTCATTGCGTTGTGTATTTTTTTTTTGCTTTTTGTTTGAGTATTTCGTTTCGTATGTTTCATTGCGTTGTGTATATTGTTTTTGTTTTTTGGTGTATTCAGTTTTTGTGTTTTTGTGTATTTCGTTTCGTATGTTTGGATGTCTGTTGGTTTTACTGCCTTGTTTATTTTGTTTTTTTTTTTTGTGTTTATTTCGTTTAGCGTTGTTGTTGTTCGTTTTGCTATTGCTATAATATTGATATAAACGTGAAAATGAAATCAATTAAAATTTTATAGAATTGATATTTTTTAAATACACTGTGGTGAAGGGTATATAAGATTCGGCACTGCCGAATATAGCACTCTTACTTGTTTTAATTTATTTACTTATTTGGCACTATGTTGGTTCTCCTAGTCTCTTCATATATTTTCATCAGATCTTAATCGGATGCCACGCACCTTTTTACGCCCACTTTTTGTAAAACTATTATTACACCAATTTTGCAATCACAATATGCAAAAACTACTAAACCGATTTACATGAAATTTTGCATACCGATAGGTATAAGGTTGGAAAGAACTTCAGGCTATATATAAGAACTTGATCCGATTCCACGCCCCTTTCTACGCCCACTTTTTATAAAACTATCCTTACCTTTAAGTGGAACAATAGGCTATATAAAATCATGATTTGACGTCACGATTTTTCTTATGCTCAGTTTATTCTCTATAATTGTTATAGAAAATTTTCATTCGAGACTTACAGAAAACTACTGAACCGATTTACATGAAATTTGGTATACCGATTTCAGGATCTGGATCGGACGCCACGCCCTTCTTACACCAACTTTTCAGGCATATAAAAAACTACTGATCCGATTTTCATGAAATCTGTTATAATGAATGTTGTGGAATGAACAGTACGACACATATGAGACATTTTTTGCTCTTTCACTACATAACTAATAAACTTATTCTCATAAAATTTTGCATTTAATAGGTCTAACCCCAGAAGTTAAAAAAAAAACTATATGATAATATTTTAATGCTACGCACATTTTTATGTTCGCTTTTTGAATAACAGCTATAACACCAAATTTCTAGGCTAAATATAAAAAACATGAACCGATTTTCAAGAAATTTGGCAACAGACAGTGTATTTTTAGAAACAACTTTTTGATCTGGATTTTATACTTCATGAAATTTTGCATGACAATAGTTCTATCGAGGAAGGTTAAGTTAGTTTGATGAAGAGAATGTTTAATACATGAAATCCGAATAAATACACCTATACCACTAATTTCGGGCCTGTTATGATCTTAATGAAATGCAATCACCTTTTTCCGTCCATTTTTGGTTATATTTATAATGCTCATGATATATACTTCTTATAGTATATGAGAATTATTATTTAGGTAGTTAAAATTTTAATCAAACATTTATTTTTATTTGAAAACTCTAAAATTTTTGTAGGTTCTTAACTTATTTTACGATTAGGTAAAATAAGAATCTGTAATCAATTTAATTTATTATCAAAAATCGATTTTCATCTAAGGCGTAAAATCGGTTGTGGATTCGTATACACCATCACTTATATTTTCCACGCGAAAAATATTCTTATTTCAAAACCTGTAATCCGCTGTATATCCTCAAAAAAAAAAAAAAAAACTATTTTATCGGAAATTTTTTATCAAAGTTATATTGTTATAGATCTGTATATATTACTTCCATCACTTATATTTTCCACCGGAAAACTATTTTTATTTCACAACCTTTAATTTGCTGTATATCCTCAGAAATTTTAAAAGAGATTCGGATGTAGTTTCCTACGATCGAAAAAACTATAAACTATATTAGATCTTGAATGAATGTCTACGATGCCACTTTTGTATGCAGTACTGAACAAAAAAACTATAACTATATTAGATCTTGAATGAATGTCTACGATGTCACTTTTGTATACAGTACTGAACGAAAACCGCTCCTAAAATAGGGTAAATAATATATTCATATTACATTTTTCACAAAAATTCGAATTTTAAACTTAAATCTACAAATCCATCTCGAAAATCATTTATATCTCCCCTTAAAATTTCTATTTATACAACTCTTTAAAAATTTACTTTAAATAACTTTCAATTCGAGAAAAAAAGTAAAGAACCGTAATCACTCATATTTTTCATACAAAAATATAAAATTTAAATTTATTGTTAAATCGAGATAACAATAAAAAACTGCAATAAGTTAAAAAAACCATCAAAAATTATCTTGATATAAATTCGGTTGCCATTTTTTAAATGCAGCTCAAATCTAAAAAACCATGTTATGTATTTGACTAACAATTAGAGTATCCTGAAAGACAGCACTTTTGCAAATCTTATATAGGTATACTTCTGAAACGATGCATATAAAGCATTGTTCATATAAAATATGGATGAATTCATCTTTCAATATCTTTTTATACTTTTAGAAAAATATCTACCAAAAAATCCGCACGTATGTAGCACCGTATTTATTCCAAGCTTTTCAAATTAAATAATGATTTTGAATAATTCCAGCACACATTTTCCATTTACCATTAACAAATTCCGAAATTTTTCAATTAGAGGAAGATGTGGATATTTTAATAAGTAAAATTATTTGGTAACTTTTTTGTATATCTAACGATATTTGATCTTTAAACCTTTATTTCTTCGGATTTAATAAGTGGTGTTTAATTCCATCCATGAATTCCATGTAATGAATAAAAATAATATTTTTAAACATACTTTTTTATAAATGGATGTATTTTTGAAAAACGAAAAAACGGTGGTTTTACTCTTTAATGAAGAACTCAAAATTATTTGTCAAATTAAAAGTAGTTTTGTTTTCTCTGTCAATATTCAAGGATTCTTCATATTTTCCTAGGGCAGAAAAAAACGTAATTTTGTTCTTTTTAAAGAAATTTGAAATCAATGAGCCCAAATTTTTCATGATTTTGGGCAGAACTTCTCATAATCGTTTCAGAGTTTTTTTCAATTGCATGTATTTTTTCGAACAGCAAAAAATCGCTTGAAATTTTATACGGTACGTATTTTTGAAATTAATAAAATGCCCCGAAAACTTTTGCCTCTTTACACCAGGGGCACTACAATTCAAAGTACGGTGTGACGTAATTTAAACTTTAAATCTACTGCACATTGAAAAAATAAAAACAATCATTTGAAAGTGTCCTTAGTTCCTCAAAAAAAGTTTTTTAAATTTTTCTACAAAATTTTGACTAAAATTTCCTAATTTAAGCTCATTTTCAATTTCTAAACTTTTAGGACTTTTTGGTCCAGAAACTGACTTTAAGGATTAAAAAAAGGCAGAAAAATAAAATAACTATTTTATCGTTATAAGATAAATTTTGATATCTATTTCAAAAAAGTTTTCCCTATTACTCAAATAACTTTGTCAGTTTTCAAGCTACGACAGTTTCGTATACTAGTTTTAAACCATAAGAAACGCACTTTCTTTTGATATTATTCAAAAATCTTGTGTTCATAAAATTTATCAAATTTGCATATCATAACAATTTTGGTACAGAGTACATTTCTTAACACAATGTATTTTCCCTATTCACGCAAATAACTTTGTCAGTTTTCAAGCTACGACAGTTTCGTA